CCTGCTTCGGAGGACGACCAATCTTCAAACACTCAACGCACTGCCGAAGACTACCAACGATGCCGTGTGTGCACCCGCCACCATTCACTACGAAGGTGCCCTGTGTTTGTAGCCATGCAGCCGCAGCAACGCTTCTTGTTAGCCAGGGCGCATCACTATTGCACAAATTGCTTGGCGCTATATCATGCCACGTTCGAATGCACATCGGCGGGTAAATGTAGAGTTTGCTCGCTACAGCACCACACCCTCTTGCACCGAAACAGTACCTCGGCAGGTTGCCGCGCTAGCTCGCACGCCGCGTCGCAGAACCCCAAACGACTTGTGCCGCCGATGCGACATGCTTCCCAACGTGGGGGATCAGGGCGCACCCCAACTCGCAACAAGCACCCTTCAACGGCTACGAACGTGGCGAACCGTAAAATCAGACAAACGGCAAATGGACTGCAAACAGCAACATATCGAGGCAAGGTCACCAAATTACTAGTGCATAAGGCGCTCAGAACTCTCCAGGAGTTGAAAGAAGCACTATCCGCTTAACGCGGCTAGGGCCGGCAGAATGTGCAAGCGAGCACTGCGGCCGCTTTGATAACACCTAACTTCGCCGTCACTCAATCGTTGGATTACATGTATACGTATATTGAATGAATTTTTATAGTAACTTACCTTTTATAACAATTAACCTTCACGTCGCTCAATTGTTGGATTATATATATTTAATGAATTTTTTATATTAGCGTATCTTAAATTTGTGGCTATACCAACGCGAGCAACCTTAGTATACGCTTGTATTGAACCGTTTCTATTCTTGAATTTGTATTGAATTTGTAACCTGTTGACAGTCTAAACGCTATGTAATGATGAGTGTGTTTGCGGGTGGCAACGCAGGCGTTGTTAGCTCGCTACCATGCTCGCTACTTTACATGCACATCTCTATATGATTTTGACATTTTAATTCTCTTTTTTGCACTGAACTTATTGCATTCGCTTTCGGTATACGCCCGCTCTAAAATTGCTTATTGTAGCAAATACGAACAAGAATTGTGAAATAATTAGTAGATCGAAGTTAATAAACGCATTTCATTTGTAATTAAAGTCCGGTTTGGTAGTTTTCTTCTTTTCGCTTGCGCAGTTCTGTTTGACAGCCGCGATCGGTATTAAGTGTGACTTAATAATTTAGATCGCGCAGTACGTGTAAACGCAGTTCCTGCTTCGAGACCAACGCGTTCAAAGCCATCCCCAGATCCTCCGCTGAGCCATCGCCGGCGCCCGACATTGCCGCCTGCATCCGTTCGCCGATCGCCGCCTCACTTCTTCTACAGCTGCTCTTTGCCAACCTCACCCCGTGAGCCCAGGAACTACCCAGTGCCATATCTCCCACTCCGTTCAAGGAAGGAAGCGGACGAGCTTCCACTCATTATTTTTAGACAACACCACTCTGTGACTGCCAAAATGTACAAATCTGTACAAATGTACAAATCGTGTGGTCCCTGCTTAACAGATTACTTACAGCGTATTCACTACTGATAGTGATAGCAGAGCGTAATTTGCCGGCGCAACTATGTAGGATAATTTTAGGCAGTGGTGTGATAGATTCTATTGTGAATACATTGGTAAGATAAAATACCGGAAATTAGTTTGAATAAATCAGCTGTTAACCTTGGGATATTTCTAAACGAATTTCTGTAGAGCACCTACCGGGTGTGTGGTTTGTACTTGATCTGAATGTTTAAATTTAATAACACACCCATTTGTTTCTGATTATGCTCTTAATTCGTGACACATTGGGCGTGTTCATATTGTCTAACCGTAGACTGTTTGTCCTAGAAACGCACAATTGAGTAGTTCCGCTCAGTTTAACAGTTGCCAACTTTCCGCCATTTTTTTCATCGTACAATTTTTTCGCTACCTGAACTCAACGTGTTTTGCTCAGCCTAAACAGATGATCGAAAAGATTTACGCCGCTTATATTAATTGTACTACGCTCATAAATGGAGAGTCAGCCCTTAATAAAAACATTATGTCCTGGCTATATATAAAATAAAACTAAAAAGTTCAAAATGAAATAATGTAAAAAAATATATTTTAAAAAAACAAGCTTTTATTTAACAGGTACAAAAAGGAATAAAGTGAAGTAGTATATTAAAAGATTTGTTTAGCAAGAAAATTTTGTCAAAACTGCACTAAAATGAATAAAATAAAATAAGTTAAGGTCTCGTTAAATTTACTAAAAGCCATTTAGTGAAAGGAGTTACTCAAACTTTAATGAAAATTACTAACCATTTGTACTAATTTACTCCGTTTTTAAAAAAGCTTGTCGACGAATTCGGAGTACATGCATAATTGGTTAGGTATGTATGGAGATATTTAAATGCCGGTTTGCTATTCGAGCGACAAACTTTTTTTTAGAAACGAAGTAAATTAGTAGTAAATTGTTAGTAATTTTCATTAGAGTTTGAGTAACTCCTTTCACTAAATGGCTTATAGTAACTTTGACGAAACCTTAACTTATTTTATTTTATTAATTTTGGTGCAGTTTTGCTGAAATTTTCTTGCTAAAAAGTCTTTTAATACACCTTCTTTACTTTATTCCTTTGATTGTACATGTTAAATAAAAGCTTGCTTTTAAAAAATATTTTTTTTTTACATAATTTTATTATATACTAGCTTTTACCCGCTGGGTTCACCCCACGTTTTTATACAAACATGAAAAATATTTTATGTAAAAATATTATACTCTCTTTCTGCTCTAATTTTACTATAGCCGTGATAGCAGCATATGGTAGGACAGCTGTATAGCTTGTGTGGTATGGAATAATTTTTTGGCACTGCAGGTGTTTTTATTTAGGATAAAATGTATCCAATAAATTGTATAATAGAAGAAATACTATCTAATTTCTTAATATGATTTCCCAGCATTTTTTTAATACTTCAAAGTATCTATTAACATAAATGCATTTTCCAATACAATTATCACACATTTTATTTTCGCTAAAGTTTCGGGTTTTACTTTAAGGCATTTTTGTTTGTTGTCATTGCAAAAGCTAACCGAACTGAAAACTGAGGTCTTTTAAATTCGAAAGGCATATCAAAAGGAATTAAAGGAGTCATGTGACCTGTGGTTCCGAAATTATGGCTGATAAAAAATTCCACACCTATATTATAAACCTTACTATAAGCACCTAACATTGATATGTTTGCATACCAAATTTCAATTTTATGTGGCTTATGGTTCCGAAGTTATGGCTGATTAAAAATTCTACGACTATGAAATTTTCGTGCGATTCCGTGCAGTGGTTCAAAAGTTACAAGGTAATAAACAAACAGACATNATAGTAACTTTGACGAAACCTTAACTTATTTTATTTTATTAATTTTGGTGCAGTTTTGCTGAAATTTTCTTGCTAAAAAGTCTTTTAATACACCTTCTTTACTTTATTCCTTTGATTGTACATGTTAAATAAAAGCTTGCTTTTAAAAAATATTTTTTTTTTACATAATTTTATTATATACTAGCTTTTACCCGCTGGGTTCACCCCACGTTTTTATACAAACATGAAAAATATTTTATGTAAAAATATTATACTCTCTTTCTGCTCTAATTTTACTATAGCCGTGATAGCAGCATATGGTAGGACAGCTGTATAGCTTGTGTGGTATGGAATAATTTTTTGGCACTGCAGGTGTTTTTATTTAGGATAAAATGTATCCAATAAATTGTATAATAGAAGAAATACTATCTAATTTCTTAATATGATTTCCCAGCATTTTTTTAATACTTCAAAGTATCTATTAACATAAATGCATTTTCCAATACAATTATCACACATTTTATTTTCGCTAAAGTTTCGGGTTTTACTTTAAGGCATTTTTGTTTGTTGTCATTGCAAAAGCTAACCGAACTGAAAACTGAGGTCTTTTAAATTCGAAAGGCATATCAAAAGGAATTAAAGGAGTCATGTGACCTGTGGTTCCGAAATTATGGCTGATAAAAAATTCCACACCTATATTATAAACCTTACTATAAGCACCTAACATTGATATGTTTGCATACCAAATTTCAATTTTATGTGGCTTATGGTTCCGAAGTTATGGCTGATTAAAAATTCTACGACTATGAAATTTTCGTGCGATTCCGTGCAGTGGTTCAAAAGTTACAAGGTAATAAACAAACAGACATTCACATTTATATATATAGATTAAGAAGATAAGCACGTTGCAGATGCATAGAAAAAATTTCGACGTAAACAAATTTTTTTTCTCAGTATCCTACCTTTTATGTTGGAACCAACAAGACACGGGATTTTTAAGAACGTTGCGAGCATAGAAAAAATGTCGATGAAAAAAAATATATTTTTCTCGGGTTCAAAACCATCCTATCTTTTAAGTTGGAACCAACAATACACACCCACAAAATTTCATTGCAATCGGTTAAGTGGTTTCGGAGATTAGCGTTAACGAACACAGTGACACGGGATTTTATATATATTAAGATAAGCACGTTGCAGATGCATAGAAAAACTTTCGATGAAAAAAAATGTTTTTTTTTTCTCAGGTTCAAAACTATCCTATCTTTTAAGTTGGAACCAACACGTCACATGATTTTTAAAAACGTTGCGAGAAGCATAGAAAAACTGTCGATGGAAAAAAAAAATATTTTTTCTCGGGTTCAAAACCATCCTATCTTTTAAGTTGAAACCAGGCTTGTTGCGAATATTCGCATTCGCATTCTCAAACGTGGAGCTTCCGCATTAATTTTAACATTCGCATTCTCTTTCGTATTCTCAATAATCAATGCGGATCTTTTGCGAATGCGAATATTGAAGAGACCGAAAGTAACAGTTATTTTCTTTACGAGTTAAACTTGGCCAAATATTTTTTATTCCCAACTAAAAGTCCTTTCCGGACAATTAACAAACCGATTATCCAAATTAAACCACTTTGGTATCAAATGCAAGAGGAGTTAAGTAGCTTTAAAACTGAAATGTCTAAACAAGCAAAGTCACCTATTAAAAAATATTTCAATAAAAAATGATAATTAATTACCATAGAACAAACCTTGGGTCAGGTATATGAATTTCTTTAGTATTAAAAGATACCAAAAAATATATAAATAGAGGTGGTAACCTTCGTTCGTTATTTCTGTTTAAAAGCTATTTCAGTCCCCTTTCAAATGATGCCAAATTTGTTTAATTTTGATAAGCTGTTTGTTTATTATCCAGAAAAAACTTTCGGAATAAAAAATATTAGGCCAAGTTTAACTGGTAAAAAAATAACTGTTATTTTCGGTCCTTGGAATATTATGCAAGTGCAATGATAAAACGTATATCTGGCCAGTCACAGAAGAAAGGATCAAAAATGAATTACAAATACTAAAATCGAAAAACGCTTTTGACGTTACTGGTTCTCCACATTCAGAAACAACCAAAATAATGAGAATGAGGAATTCTTTGGAAAACAACGGTGTTTAAACAACGATCTTGTCATGATACTAGATTGTGAAGATTCAGGAGGATACATACGACATTTGCAGACAGATGCAATTCCCAAAAAAACAATTATTGCACCGCAATAAAGAAAAAAAATATATAACTGAAAGTCCTCTCGACTGGTGCAGTCTCAATCGAAAAGAATTTAAAATTTTGTCAAGTTTCAAGTTTTCCGCAGCGAGCGAGTAGTTATTTAGTGGCGCAGGTTTGATTTACGACCTTTTAAAAACATTTTATTGAATACAATGATCCAATTTTTAAATTCAAGTACTAAAAAAAAATTATTAAAAATTACTAACCTTTCCATTTTTTATTTAACTAAATCAACTAATTTACTCACCTGAATTATTTTTTAACAAGTAAAAAAGTCAAAGCTCGAGCGGAGCCGAACATTAAATACCCCGCGCAAGTATTCATGCTA